GGGGGGGAGTGGGATGTTTGTGGATGTGGTGCCAATCGAGCGGGAGGCTGCTTTGTCCCTGGATGGTGTCGAGCTTCTCGAGTGTTGTTGGAGCTGCCCCCATCTGGGCCAAGTGGGGAGTATCCCATCACACTCCTGACTTGTGCCTTGTCGATGGTGGGACAGGCTTTGGGGGGGAGTCAGGAGGGGAGTTACTCGCTGCAGGATTCCCAGCCTCTGACCTGCTCTTGTAGCCGCTGTGTTTATGTGGGGCTGGTCCTGTTCAGTTTCTGGTCAGTGCTAACCCCCAGGATGTTGATAATGAGAGGGGGGGGCAGATTCAGTGATGCTAACACTACTGAACATTGAGGTAAAGTTGAGTGTTAGAGCAGTGGTCGCAAAACAAAAGACAAAAAAGCCATTAAAAGCTCATTTGTGACACAGCAGTGACCATAAATTGCGAGATGAGAGGACCGATGTTGGCGCAAAGTGCATTATTTAATTTCAAAATTCCCATTCCCCAGTCTCTCACCGTTGGGGAGCTGGTAGAGAGATGATGAACTGAACACTGTCCTTTCGTTTTCTTTTTTGACCCCAGACGTTCTATAAGGAAAAGAAACGGGAAGATATTTACATCAGGTAAAAACGTATCGCGTTTCGGAAATCTTTCGAAGAAGGGCATCTTGTTCGGAACGTCTGTCCCTGCTCCCTGCCAGCTGGAAGTTGTAATGAGCCCTTGAGGGGACCAATCCCGGAGCGCAGTGGGCAGTTTTTTGATCTCCTTACCTGAGGGAGAACTTACTTTCCCTTGCACTCGGCCTCAGGATAAGGGGTCAGCCATTTTGGGATTGAGACGTCATCGCACAGAGGGTGGAGAAACTTTGGAATTCTCTCTCCCAGACGCTCGGTCATGGGATAGATCCAGGGAGGAGGTCACGAGACGGTTGGATTTTTGGAGGAATTGAGGAATACGGGAATGGGGGGAGATGAGGTTTAGGTAGATAATCACGCTTGATCATTTTTAAAAAAGGCACATCAAGCACTAAGGGCTGAACGGCCTCCTACATATTACGTTCAGAGGTGCCAGAAATTTGGTTTTATGTTAAAAAACACGTCATGCTCGAACCAACTCAGTGTCTCAGAGGGATGGAGTGGGGGCAGGGAAGGGTGGCGTAGTCACACATCTGAACATGAGGGGTTTGGAGAGGGTGGGGGGATAAGGGACAAGCAGGTCGTGGACTTTCTAGAGGGGCAGCCCAGGGAGTGGTGGTAGGAGGGCAGCGAGCCAACGAAAAGGGGACGCGCCGCCCGTCCGACAGGGGCGAGGCCGGAGGGAAAAACGCGTGACAGAAATAGCA